TTAATATAAAAATATAAATATTTATTATTTATTTAATAAATTTAATAAATTTTTAATTTTATCAATTTAATTTTACGATTTTAATTTTATCTACCAAAATAATTTTAAGTAAAATGTGGATTTTGACCACCTATATCCTTTCTATTACCAGAACAAGAGGAGTAGGTGGTGGCCGACACTTGGTTTGGGCACAATAACCTTGATGAAGAAATATTGACCATAAAACCACAACAGTTCATGCAGACGGACAAAGGACTGTTATGCCAGCTATAATGCATGATTACAAACGACAGAAAAGAAAAAGAAGGATGTCTGCAAATACATATTTGAATTGATATCTAGGGTGGGGTTGGTGGGGTGGGGGCTTGCCATTGCTAAATATATGCAAGTTGGACAGACTGATGATGGATATTTTAAAATTATTATTTTTAAAATAATTAATTTTATTTAATTTGATTGATAAAAATAATTAATAAATTATAATTATAAATTAATAATTAATGAAATATACAGCTAATCACTTCTTTAGGTTTGCTCTTGTCCTTTGTTCAAACATATGTAAAGCATCTTAGAGAAGAGATGTGCTCCTACGTCTTTATTGTAATTGGTTTCAACTTGCTTTAATTAAAATATTATAATTTTCAATAAATTGAAGCCCTGTAGAGTTTAAAATTAATTAAGACTTAGTAGAAGACAATTTCACGTTCACACACGTACAAAGCATCTTAGAGAAAAGATGAGCTCCTGCGTCTCTATTGTAATTGGCTACAACTTGCTTACATGTATATATTGTAACTCCCTTACACTACCTGTACCTTCTTGAATCATTTTACATATATATCCGTTTCACTGTCATATCGCCAAGCATCTTCCAGGAAAGATACAGCTAATCACTTCTTTAAGGTTGCTCTTCTCCTTTGTTCGCTCGCCTTTTCTTATAATCAGACACTGTTTGGCTTGCAATTGGGTTCGTAGATCTGTTGCTGCTTCTAATTTATTTGGCCTAACTAATTTAATTGTCAGTGTTCATTTTCTTTAATTTCTTTTATTGAATTTATAAGTATATTATCTATTTAGATCTTTTATGTTAATTCTATATGCTTATGTTATCTTTAAACTATATATATTAAATGAAAAAATTTATATATATATTAAATGAAAAAATTTATTTATTTATTTTTGCGAGAGCTTGACTTTATTCAAAATCTTCAATATCTCTTCATTCTGAAATTCTTTTTTAGCAATTGTTAGCTTCTTTATCTTTAAATATGCTTTTACCTAATTAATTTGTGGTTATTTAACAAATTTTATGAATTTTTCTTTTGGGTATTTTAACTAAATGTACATATGACTGACTAACTGTAGGTGATCATATTTGAAATTTGTTTTTCTTTGAGGACAACGGTTATGGCTCTAAAGAATTGAGTTTGTAATTAGATATGTTGCTATTTATAATTTGCTTGGTTTAATTTAATTATCATTATTATTTTCTTCAATTTTATCTATTAAATTTGCATGTATAACATTTAGATCTTCTATTTTATTCTTGCTTTTTCCTTTGATATTCTTTCATATTAATTTTCCTTTTTTTTTTTTAAACATGAAGAAATTTGAGAGAGGGAGATTTGTAAGGATTAGAACCAAAATCTTAATTTTAATTTTGGTATATATGCACTATTTTCAGTACAACAAACACTTGTTTTATTTAAATTATTTTAGAACAAATATTTAGTAAATTTATTGTTTTTTTTTAACCACTACACCATAAATATCCAGGAGACATTTCACGTTGAGGTGAGCTCTAATCTCCAGACCCTCCGCCCCTGGTATTGACAAGAGTGAAAGGAATCCCCAGGCAGAGAAAAATATCTGAGGAAAGACAGAGAAGCCATTGTGAATCCTGCGCGAAAAGTAAGGTAAAATCTCACGTTACGTTATTAAATTTATTTTAAAATTTTGATTAAATTTTTAAATTTTAATTAAAATAAATAAATTTTAAAATTTAACTCTTTAAGTAATTTAATTTTTTATAATAAATTTAATATTTATTTATTTATATTTTATTTATATATATAAAATCTTTTTTAAATAAATTTATGTAAATAAAATTAATACTTATCACGTAAATAATAATACACCAATGCCTTGTCATCCTCTCCGAACCTAGTTGCTTCCTACTCATACTCCTTCGCGGAACTCCTTTCTGCAATTGAAACATCCCAAAACATTTGCCGATTAAATAAAAGATAAAAATATATTTTATTGTTGAGCTGAGTTTATGAATTAGTAAAGATAATATATAAGGTGAATTACACATAAAAAAGCTCAATTAAATACAAATCTTTTTAATATTACTCTTTCGCTGTTATTATTCTGTATTAGACATTAGTATGATCTTTTTTTCATGAGTGTACAAGAGATAGTATGAAGTGCAGTATTTACCCACATAGATACAGCCAACCTCAAGCTTAGCATTGTCACCCAAGGCAATGGTTGCAAATTATACAAAACATACATAAGTATAGACATAGAGGAAGATTTAAATTAACCTATAAAGTCTCAATAAAAAACAGTTACAAATTAAATAAGTTAATGTTTTTCACGTCACTTACCTAAAAAAAGGAGAGGAAAGAAGAATTAACCACATTTTTTGATTCATGTAAGTTTTTGTTGAAGTATAAATATATTTTTTTAGTACATTGAAGGATTAGCTACTTGTAATGATAGAGGTTTAAAACCTTGAACTTAACCCCAAATCAAACTTAACCCCAAATCAAAGTTTTTTAGTTAAAGTATATAAAATGAAAAAAAGTAGATCCAAATCATTAACCTATTGACTTCTATAATCCACCTTTTTATATTATCTCTTGCTTTGAGCCTAATTCAATTATAACTAAATTAAGTGAAATCTTAAGC